TGCGGCTGTGATTTATAAAGGAAAGATGCGCAGAAACGTGCGTACGCACTGTTTTTTAAATCTGATTTTTTTTTTTGGCGTACGCCATTTCCGCCTTTTGGCTGTACGTTCACTTTTAGTATGGTTTMCACGCAATCCTTTATAAATGAGACCCCTGGACCTGAAAGCAGCCATTTATGGTTTTGGACTATAGGAGGGTGCAAACACGAGGAGAACATGCAAACTCCACACAGAAAGATCCCAGGCCCAACCTGAGGCTTGAACCCAGGACCTTCTTATTGTGAGGCAACAGCGCTGACCAGTCAAAGYCCTCATGCTGCCTTGAGTATTTCAGAGATTTCAGAGTGACTCCTTGTTCTGGGATTTTGATGACAGTTAAAGAAGGATCCATGTTTAACCCTTAGATGCATAAGTGGGGTCAAAAATGACCCCGGGGGTTGTTATTCTTAAAAATCTCTGAGATTAAAAGGTTTTACACTTTTATATTACAGATATTCCACATAAAACATGTTTGTGACCTGAAGCCATTTGAATTTTTAAAAACGTTTTCATMCATTTTAAGAAATTGCAGTTTTTGTGTCACTTTTTCACAAGTGGGGTCAAAAATGACCCCAAGCATTTCCTACAGAATCTCAAGGGTTTGCTTTGGGAACTTTTGATTCTTACAAACTGTGACTGTCWGGAKRCATTTACTGCCCMACTTACACATCTGATGCCTGCAGTTTTAGGAGGTCGGTTTGACGCAGCAGAATACATATTATTGAATTGAATGAAACTTTATTGATCCCATGAAGGGAAATTACAGATTTACAGATTCATTTATCAACTCCATGACTTTTCTGTGATAGARTATCATGTTGGTCAACAAARTATACTCTAGATAGCTTACTACAAAATAATGTTAGTAGTAATGTTAGTACTCTGTTAGCTAGCTTACTAAGCTAGCCAACCTTACTAGCCAGCTTATATTACTGCATTTTTTGTGTAGAGACCCAATGTATTCWTAATTTCTTGTAACAAAAGCTAACCTGTTAGGTAACCTATTATATGATTATTGAATATTGATTGGCTGGTGTGTGTGTGTGTGTGTGTGTGTGTGTGTGTGTGTGTGTGTGTGTGTG